CTATGTTGGGTTTGGTGAAGCTCAAATGTCTAATGAAGCCAACATTTGGAAGAAGAATGTTTTCAAGGTGACTTGGATAATAGCGCGTTGTGACAAACACCAGATACAGCACTGGGACTTGATCAACAGCCGATACCGCACCGTGACGTCACAAACCAGTAGGTGGCAGTAGTGTTCTTTGACAAACATGGATGCCTCCAGTAAAGCACATTCAAATGAAAATAACTCTGAATTAAAAACATTTAGCAATAATTAAACAGTATGTAATAATTTAATATTTAAAGTATGTTCAGAAGTTTGAATTATGAATATGACCGGATTTTTACCTTTAACTGATAGAAAATCTTCCATGATGATAAAAGAGCAGAAATTGTTCCAGAAATCTGTGTCTCTGTGCTGACAGTTACACACCTCCATATAATATACATATATTTAAATATATATGTTGTCTGCTGTTCTCTTTCAGTACCAGGACCTCCAGTTGGTATCCTCTTCCCTGAAGTGCGGACCACGTCTGTCCGGCTGATCTGGCAGTCGCCTGCGCAGCCAAACGGCATCATCCTTGGTTAGTCACACTCAAAATCCTTTCCTTAGAAATGTTTTTTTTTTTTTCTTAAAAGTTTGGGTAATATAATGTTATAAATATTTTCTTTTGTTCTAATTCTTTTGTTGCCTAAACAGAAAAACCGATATCCAACAAGGGGAATTAGCTCTTTTAAATAATTGTTCAACATTGCTGAAAACGGAGCTGACCTCTCTTTGAAACGTATTATTTTTGTGTAAAACTTTGATTTGTTATAAAACTGCTGGATAATTTGATTTTGATTTAACAGTCCGTCAGATAAAATCAAGCAGCAGGCAACAGATGCTAATGGAATCGTGTCATCAGGGACAGCCACGAAAAAAGAAAAAAAGAAGGACTAAGATGTATTTTAAGCTTGACTGGCCTTTTTCTTCTTCCCAGCCTACCAGATCACTTACCACCTGAACTCTACAAACAGCAACGCAGCCACAGTGGACGTCCTGAACCCAAGCACTCGCCAGTACACCGTCACCAGCCTCAAACCAGAATCCGTCTACGTGTTTCGCATCACAGCACAGACCAGGAAGGGCTGGGGCGACGCGGCCGAGGCTCTGGTGGTCACAACGGAGAAAAGAGGTAACCGAGGACTACAGGCTGGGTTCACATTACATTGACTTAAACAATTAAGACTAAATTTACCTGATTAAGCGCTAAATTTGTGGTAAATTTAATAAAAAGAAACAGTTAAAGAGCAGTTACAGATCTGTGTCTCAGCTTGTAGAAAGTTGCACTAAGCAGCCCTGAACTTTATTTTGTTGTTCCAACTGAACAGATGTGCTTAATAAAAGAGTGTCTGTGCCTTTAAGGGATTTATTAGATGGGCCCGACGTATCCGGTTATTTCCTTCTTTCAAAACATGTACGGCGTTATTACACCGTTTCCTCAAAACTGTTTAGGAAATGTAAAGTTTCCTTCACACATCCTTCTTATTCCACGTATAGAAGAAAGATTTTCCGTGGAAAACCCCAGAAAATAAAAAGAGTTAGGGAAGCTGAGTAAACTGAAATATTAAATAAATCAAAAGGGAAACTTAGAGATTATTAAAGAAAAACTATATGTAGTGATTTTATCTTCAACTACATATTTTTCTTCCAGTTTTGATGATTTATAAACGACATATAATGAAAATCCAGAATCCAGAAAATGACTTACGATCATGAAGACATTTTCTAAATGTTGCGGTCACATAAACATCGGACAGAAATGATCCACAGCTGGAGGCTGATCTTTATGGTCATATTCAGGATGTGGGCTTTAATTGTCACCATCCTTGTGTTTAGCAATCCTGGAGCAACTGGACAGTTAGTCTGCAGTCAAAACTCCTTATTTCAAACCGTACTAATACATATGTTTCATTTGTAAATTGAAGGTATAGAGGACAATCTTTTATTTAATCCAGGTGTCAGGGTTTGGTTGTGGTTTGGAGGACCCAAATGCAGAGGCAGAGAGGCTGAGGAGATTTCTTGGAGTTTAATGGGGCAAAACAGTAAACAAAGGCAGGAATGCAAAAATCCAACTAATAATCAAAAGCAAACCAGAACTATGGAGACATCTGGGGAAACCAAACACGAGGAGCCAGGGAGAGACGAGGTAGGTGGACAATAGCATGGGAGGACAGCAAAGACAAGGAACCAACAAAGAAGAGGGAGAGCATATAGCAGACAGAGAGAAAGGGAGGGCTAACGAGCAGATGAGGAGCAGGTGTGAGAGGAGACAACGAGGGAGCCAATGGGAAAGGAACACACACACACACAGACACATGAGAACTAACATAAATCTAGAAATTACAACTAAAAGGAATTAAACCAATAAAACTAGGAAACATAGAGCAAAGTAAAGCACAATAGAAACAAGACCATGACACCAGGTGGATCATCTAAATAAGTGGTCCTCCTAACTGTCAATCATTCTGGTGATATGTTTATGTAAGGCCGTTCTACGTATTGGTCCGGTTTGCTATGTTTTTCTGCACAGGCACGCTTTGAGGCGTCTGTGGTGAGTCCCCGCTCTATATAGTGACTAAGGGATGAAAAGCAACTTTTAAACAGACCGTGCACGAGGAGAGATGGGTTTGTGGATGCCCTTGCACGCTCATTTTTACTAAAGTGGAGAGTCTTTTAAAAAATTTGCCACAATACCTTTAAGGAGTGACAATTTGAGGGACCATGTCCTTTTCTAGTGTTGGATCATTGGTTTATAGTTTCTACACTGGAAAAATTTGTTAAATTAAGTGTATTTACCCTTAATTTGAGTAGTTAAATGAGATATTTAGCCAGTGGAATGAGTATTTTTACTCTTAAAATAAGATATTTAGATAAAATGCACTTGAAATAAGACAATGCAATTGTGTTTTCTTATTTTTAGAGTAAATTGTCTTGCTCCATTGGCAAAATGTCTCTTTTATCTCCTCAATTCAAGAGCAAATTTACTTATTTTAAGAAAAAATGACTTATCTAGATTTCAATTTTTTCCAGTGTAGTCTAGTTTCCTGCTGATGGGATCAATTTATTTCTAGATTAAAATCATTGCTGCAGCATTTTAGATGAAATCATTACTTTATCAGAACATCTAAAAGCATGAAAGTTATTTTATTATACATGGGCAATGTGAGGTTAAAGGTTGACGAGGGGCTGAAAATAAACTAGTGAAGGAGAGATCTGTCAAGATCCTGTTTTAGCACAAATAAAGAAGCTGACACAGCGAATCCTTTCCAAAGAATTGATTTTTTTTATCCTATTACTGTAAATGGACTTGAAAATGGCCCATGGAAAAATGTCCACACCTCAGTTTCTGCCTCTGGTGGTTTCAGCTCGTCCCCAGCCCACCAGCCGCCCCATCGTTCCTCAGAAGGATGTCCAGGCCCGTCAGGTGCTGCTCTCCTGGGAGCCGGGCAGCGATGGGCTCTCCCCAGTGCGTTACTACACCGTGCAGCAGAAGGAGCTGCCTCAGAACAACTGGACGGTGCACTCCGCCTCCGTCAACCACGAGGCTACGTCCTACATTGTGTCCGGGTAGAGATCGATTCTCAGATTCCAACTTCTAATTAAAGACCTTCCCTGAAATTAGTTTTTCTTTCTGTTCTGTTTGCATGGAAATACTTTAAACATCTGTCTTCTGAAAATCTGCTCGTGTTCCTTCAGCTTTACAACAGATTGCAGATCAAATCCAATTACACTGTGAAGCAAAACAGTTTTAATCACCTTGACAATTTGAAATATGATATTGTGTTTGAGCTTTCTTTCATTTTTGCTTAAATTAAGGCTCATTATGTGTTTGTTTTTGCTTGGTGAAGCTGTTTCTCAGGAAAATGTGCTGTCATTTCTGACTACAGACTGATCCACTTCCTGTTGCTTCTCCTTTTCAGGCTGAAACCGTTTACTTCCTATCAGTTCAGAGTAAAAGCTACCAACGACATAGGGGACAGTGAGTACAGTGAGGAGAGTGAAGCTATCACAACTCTACAGGATGGTGAGACATTAATTCATTATGTTTGTTGTGTTTAAATATCAGTGGATTTTGTTATTTATCAAGTTATACGTTTAGCAGAATTTTTCCATTGTTGGACAGTAAAGAGATTTTCTATTCTATTCTAAATTCGATGTGTCACTGAAAGTGAAAATGGGTCCAACAACCAGCAGTCTCAAATATTCATAAATTTTTTATTCTAAAGTCACGAGCTAAAAAGAACATAGGCAAGGCAAATTTATTTGTATAGCACAATTCAGTACAAAGACAATGCAAAGTGCTTTACATGATTAAAATATAAGAAAATAAAACAGAATCAAAGCAAGTAGGAAAAAAATAAAAAAAAATCAAATAAAAAATGCAGAAACAAAAAAGAATATTCTATCTATCTAGATTAGATAGATTACTATTAATGTTGCGCCAATGCCATTTTTTGGTAGCCTCGTGAGACCATCCTGATCTCGCGAGCTTTCAAGATTTCACTCGCTAATCAGTCTGGAGACTCTCCGTTGAAGAAAACTTGGAGCCGTTCACCAAACGAACGTCCAATCAGCGTTGGCTTTGAGGCGGGTTGAGGTGTGACGCAACGAGAAGCGCAACAGTTCAGTCTAAAGAACATGGCGGCTTCAGCCGATGAAATTAGCGTTAGCGCGGCTATCGAGCAAGTTTTATCGGAATTACAGAGTATTTCTTCACTGAAAGAAGAGCAAAACACTGCTCTGGAGGCTTTTCTCAGAGGAAAAGATGTTTTTGCTCTTCTCCCGACTGGTTTCGGCAAGAGTTTGATCTATCAATTGGCTCCTCTTCGTCGTCGCTCTGTTAGTACGTCATATGCTTCAATGATCCGATTGGTTTATTTGGCCCGTCTATCACCAACATAGGCCAATCAGCTAACCAGTATTTTCGCCCCTTCCCAAAATTACTTCAACGGAAGGTTTCCAGATGGATATGCGGAGCAAATCCATCTGGCGGAGTCAGGTTAATTTTTAGGCCCCGATACCTGGCTGTGCAGTATCGGCCGATACAGATACCATCTGTTTGAAATTGATGTGTGTATATATGAAGAACTGCATACTGCTTGGATTTAACCTCTTACACCCTAAGGGGGTATAAATTAATTTCTGCCTGACAAAAACACACAAAAGTAAATAACTTATAGCCTCAAAGCTATTAGATTTAAGAAGAAACTTTTGGTACGTCTGTAAAGGTAAGATGTCATAGAATGGTTTTCTGGTGTCAGCACCATTGTAGCTTTAACCCTGCCTGAAATATTAGGGACAAAATACAAAATATTTTGCATTTTTTGAACCTCGCCAAAATTTTCTTTGAAATAAACATTGCAAAACACTACCAAAATATTATTTATAGCACAAAAAAGTAGTACAGACTTTTAAATCTAAATGTTGTGTAAAAATATACCAAATTTGGACTCAATCAGATGAATCATATTTATTTTAGAATGGTATTAGTGAGAAATTTCTTAGGCGGAGAGGCCATTTTGGCACATTTATCCATAAATGTCACCAAACTGTGCCAAATATGTTTTTTACATCAATACTGGGGGTTTGGTAAAATTACTAGGTCACGTAGCAGCTGGACCCGCCGGTGGGTCCGTAGGGTTCTAGGGGTTAAAATAATTGCCATCATGGCTTTATAAAGCTGCCGTCCACCTTTGTGAAGCAAGAAAAGGACTAAAACAAAGTGAATCCAGTAGAACTTTTTATTGCCTACCTGGAATGGGTGACAATAGTTGAAGAAACTTTTGGTTCTCAAATTGGTATCAGTGCCCTTTTTGTTGGTACTCGCCGATACCGATACTACAATATTAGTGTTGGACCGGTTCCCCTCCCGATACTGGTATCAATGCAACACTGATTAACAACATTTAAAAACTTTTAGTTAGCTGTTTTTAGTTTTGTCACGATACTAAACTTTTCAACTCGATACCGATACTAAGGAAAATATTCGATACTCGATACCATTTTCGATACCACAAGGATAAAAACTCCAAATTTCAACAGAAATATTTTGATTAATAATTAAAATACAATAAATAAATACAATAAACAATAAGAACAATATTTTGATGTTGTATGCTGTGCACAATATTAAGCGAGCTTGATAAAAAAACTTACAAAATTAAAATTAAGTTTTCCTCACTTGGCTATGCTTTGCACACATAACAATGACACTAGCCAAACCGGTTAAGAAACAAAAATAATTCTCAGCAGCTGCACCTGTTACAAAAAAAAAAGTCTGAACTGAAAAGTGCGTAGAATTATTCAATCACACAGTGTTCTGAAAGTGCATTTTCCTCTATTCTGCACTTTAGATGAATGACTGTTTAGGTGTCACTGTATCGATACTTTTGAAAATGAGTATTGTATCCGGAAACAACGTTTCAGTATCAATACTTTTTTGGGTATCGATACTTTTGACAACCCTAGCTGTTTTTATATTTCACATGACCGTTTTTTGTGGAATTATAGAAAAAAAAGAGCAATATGCAAGACAAAAGGTCCACCCAGGTCCACAGTAGTGATACAGTAGCAAAGTCTTCAGCTCAAATATGTATTCATAAAAGGGAAGATTTATTTTTTCAGTTATTCTGTCAGATGGAGAAAATCAGAAGAGTTGCTTTCCAAGAAAATGGAAACCTCCAACTTAATTAAAGCATTTACAGCTCTCTGTGGTGAGCCCAGTTTGCCGGTAGCTATAGCAGCGGGGAGGGATCTCTTGTGGCAAAATTAAAAACAGTATGAAAACACAAAAGGTCTGGCAGCATTTATGTCCGTTACTGCTACTGTTCTGCCCAGCATTAGTAAATCTATCTACACATGGAGATGTCAATACTTTCCTTAGAAATGTCTAGTCAGAATCGCATCATTTATGCCGCTGGTTTACTATCTAAAAAGTTTTCCTTTATTCCACATGAATGATCCACATGGATGTTGGCTCTCAGTGCATTTCTATTGAATCCCTTTGATCAGACAGTTGCAGCTGATCCAGAATGCTGCTGCCAGCGTCCTCACTAGAACTAAGACAGTAGAGAACATCAGCCTAGTTCTAAAGTGCTTCCACTTTAAAATTCTTCTGTTGGTCTATAAATGATTTAATGGTTTAGCTTCAAAATACAAAATACATTACATACTGTTTGTCGGTGAATCAACAGTCAGACCTTTCAGGTCTACTGCATCAAATCCAGAACCAGAACCAAACATTTAAAACTAGTATTACGTTCTTATTCTCTACTAATCTACCAAACTCTACTAAGCTCAATAGTTTTAAATCTATATTTAAATCATAATTGTTTAGAGCAGCTTTTGACTGTGAAATCTAAACATTATTAGCTAAGTTTAAAGTCTAACTTTCTTGTTTTCTTATCAATCATAATATTATGAATTGCTTTATTATCATTTTAATTTTAGTTTTTTTATCATTTCTTGAAATTCTTCATATTAGGTGTGCCATGATTTTTATACAATGCTATGTTGTAAGCATTTGTTTTATGTAATCTCTCTGATTTACAAGTCTGATTTTTACGGAGCCCCCTAGGGGACATGGGGGTTATTTTTTTTCTTTTGCGTTACCTCGCAAAATTTTGCGTTACCTCGCAAAATTTTGCGTGAGAACGCAAAGCCTTACTTCGGTAAAGTTAGAAAGATATTCACAGATTCGGACTTCCGGGATCAATAACTCTCGTTGTTGAAACACAAATGGCGCCTCTTTCATGTCCTGATAGCACAGACTACGTATTACAAGAATCAACAAGCGCTATTTTCGAGAAAAACGAGCCGTTCTCCGAGCTGGATGTATTACATTGATCTCTATGCACAGGCAGCGGCCAGGCGAGTGGTTAGGGACCGTCTGCAAATGGTAAAACAACTGCAAAACTTTTCAAATAAAAATCAATAACTCCACTGCCATAAAGTGCATAGACTCCAAAATCACCACACACACCAAGGGGCTCTTGGTGATCGCACTACAACAGCTGGTTTGGAAAAATAAACCTTTTTTTTTTTAATACTTTTAATAATTTTAATTTTGCAATACTTTTGCGAGGGAACGCAAAAGAAAAAAAAAATTCCCCATGTCCCCTAGGGGGCTCCGTAGATGTTAGACACCTGTGGGTGTGCAAAACAGAGGAAAATAAAAAGAATGTTCTGAATCACAGTGAATCTGTGATTTTAAATTAGGTACAATTATAGTTTTGAGGAAGGTCATGTTGGTTCGGATTATACTTTTCTCAGCATTAATCAGGATTTAAATCCTG